CCATGTTTATAAAAACTCAGGTAAACCTATCATCAAAGGTCTCCCAAAGACGACCATTACAGCAATTGGCGAACTGGCAGTGTTGACTTGTGAGGTTAGTGGAGACCCTCAGGCTTCTGTTACCTGGACTAAAGATGGACTTAGCAGTATACCTCGCGCTCAGTTCGAGAACAACGAGAAAACACTTATTATAAGAGATGTTGTTCCTGATGACAGTGGCGTTTATGAATGTAAAGCAATGAACATGTTTGGAAAGAGCCGTACAGCTACGATTGTCATTGTCGCTGGTACGTAGAAAGTTTGTTATGTTTGCATTGAATATTGGGTAACAATTACGTTTTCATTTTTTTTTGTGAAACAAGTCTGTGAGGAAGTAAGTGAGGTAGAGAAATTGCCAACCTCTGCCAAAATAAATGACCAATCATGGTTCTTCTAAGCACTATGATAATCACCATGACAACTTACTTCAACCACTTATTAACAAGTCATTCGCGAATTAGTGTGTAGACTGGGTATTAAACAAATATTAGAAATTTGTAATTGAAGGGTGAAAAAATAGTACAACACTGATATCAACTAAACAAACCACCACTCAGTGTGCAAACCAAAAAAATAGATCACAGTGGTGTTCCCTTATATTTGTTATACCTCTGCTCCGTTGTCAAGAGCATAATTTTGTCTGAACTTGTTTTGGTATCATTACGTTTTCCCTTTTTTTCACACAGTGCCACCCAGAATTATTGAAGAATTTTCCCCTTCCTCAGTGATATGTGAAAAGCAAAGTCCGTGTTTTCTCACTTGTCAAGCAACAAGTTATATTCCGTTTAACTACTCTTGGACGAAAGATGGCCAGGTTCCAACTGGTGATGGCATCAAGTTGATGAATAACAGTATCATTGTCACGCCACGGGATGGAAAAGATTATGGGGAGTATGTTTGTCACGCTACAAACAGCTTTGGGTCAACAGAGTACAAAATCACTCTGCTTTCTCCAAGGGATAATCAAGATGATGACGGTAAATATTCTTCCTCAATATTTGAACGTGCTTAAATGCTGTCGTCTCAAAAATTTTGGAAAGCCTAGAACTTTGAAGTCTAGTGCGGAGTTTATGGACTTTTAGTTACAGTTGTTTGGTATAACCATTTATGTATCAAAAGCAATATTATGTGGTGGTCTCATACGCCGACGTTGTTCTGTGTGAAGTTACATTTTCTCTCTTCAGTTAGAATGTTATAAGAGTGTGCAATGTAGGTAGATCATTCCATATATCATAATTGGCCCGTTAGGTTGTAACATAATCAAAACAAAGCTTTACACACTAATTTTAAGGGGGCTCGAAGCTAAAATATGCCTGTATTTCTCCTTTTAGTTGTCCTGCTTGTTCAAAATTACTGAAGGTCATGTATGTGACTTCGAGTCAATAGGCATAAGAAATTTCTAGCATTTAATGAAGTACGATCAAGAGACGAGACAACAGAAAGTTTGAAAGAGTGTTCATGTTTCGGGGTTAAAAAACAACGTCGTATTCCTTAGGGTGAATATAAACATAATTACAGTGAAACAAAGTAACTAAGCAGTCTTTGGTGTTTGATAGTTGGTTTGAAAGTCGTTTGTTTTCTTTCACCAGATACACAAAGCACCTTCCTTGCTAGTGTAATCGCATTTTCTTGTATTGTGGTCGTGTTACTCATTATAATTTGTGGGCTGATATGGCAGCGGAGACGAGTTGTTCCTAATAGGAGGACACGAAGTAAAGAAAAAGTTGACTTTGATGGCGTCAAATCTTCACCTGATCAACAGCGACGTGACCAGCACGCTTCAGACCCGGATTTATATATGGAACTCAAACCCAGGCCTTCGAACCAGGAGTCTCATGTTCCTACTGAGTATCAGTCGTTACAGGAAAACCCCGAGAACCCCGAATATTACAATATGGTGCTTCAGAAAGAAAATGGCGGGAAACAAAATGAAGTAGTGTATGAGGAATTATGCTAATCACTCAACTAATTTTGTATCCTTTTGGTTCGGATTGTCCATCTTGTGTTATATACTCTGCTTAGTTATAATTATGCGCATGTTAATTTGTTCTGTATCGATCTAATGGAAGACAGATGCATAGATGACGTCAGCTTAAACAACATCTTGCTTCTTCACTATAAAAACAAAGAGATTCCATGTTGCCGTGAGTCTGTTACTTAATAAGTCACAGAAGACGTCAAAATGTGCTACGAGGATCAGTGCCAGACCCGACTGCGCTTCGTGTTCCACTCTTTAGTTCTCACCGCATTTTGACGTCATCTGTGATCCATAACAGAACAGACACACGCCTACATGGAATCTAATTGTTAATTAGAAACGGTACTTCGGTTTGTAAAAGACTTTGTTCTTGTCTCGCTTAAAGAAGCACTTAGTAATTTGGCAATCAAATGCATACGTTTGACGTTTTCTCCTCGTTATCGTCATGATCACTCTTACTATCGCAGTGGCGCATAGAGTGCGGTTATCTGATATAGCTGTAAGGAAAATATACGAGATACACTGATAACACTAGCTTACCCAATAGATCCTGTTTGCGAATGTATTCTGTTTACTACAAGAACTTTGTTAGTTTGTGATCAAGGCAGTTTTAAGTAAGGCCTTAAAGACTTCTTCAACGTGCAGTAACCTTTGATTTGGTCCATTTGAAATTAATTTCCTATATCTGTCTTATATTTTACATGTATCTGTATAATTTTATCTTTTACTATTGATGCATGTGTAATGCCATAAGATGGAATCGTGCATAGCCAGATCTTAAAATTTAGTTATAACCTCGAATAAGAATTAAATGAAATTCATAACTTTGGGCGAGGTCCGCCAAACTAAACGAAACCTCTGACAAGACGATAGCACATGTACATAAACTCACTTTTCTTAATGAATCCCTGATATTAAGTGCGATTTAATCTACAACATCTTACATCGTTAGCAGCTCGAGAATTAGAATTCAACTTAAAGTATGCTCTGAACCAGCAGTAAAAATGAAAGAATTAATTATGCCATTTTTTTTAGAGTCATTAGATGCAAATATAGAAAACAAAACGTGACAATGTCACATTTTTTTACCAGTACTGAAAGTTGTTCCTTATATTTTACCTCTTGAGGAGGGTTCTCTTTTCTGAGTCATTTATTAGACATAAGGAACGTTTTCATTATATTTTTGAGTAAATTCTTCTCAACTGTAAAGACAATGTATTGCAATTGAAAAATGTTAAGCAACAGAGTATTATTGATAGGTGTTTGTAGATAAGAGAATGGAAGAGAGTAAAATGTTTTTGCTCCATCAGATATTTTTAACTTATAAAGTATTTACTGATTGAAGAAAATGCTCGGAGAAGTTTTTCCGAAGCAATAACATTTTAGTAAGCATTTAAAATGCATAGAACTTGAGCAACAGAACAGTTGTAGCTAAGGGAATAAAGTGTTTTCACAAAAAGATTTGCCTGACCTTGGTATGTCATCCACTTCTTTTCATGCGATAACATTTCCTTGGCAAGTATATATTGTTAAAAATAATTTCCTAACACTCGCTGTTTTGTTGTCCCTTTCTTCATTCACTCTTACTACTCAAGTTATTACAACGGGGACTAGCTCTGATCTCTCGAAAAAATTGAGGGTCACCGCTTATAAAGGTGACACTTTCGGAGCTGTCAATCTCTAACCTTCGTCATACTTTTACACGGATGGAAGGCTGCTGGTTGTTTAAATGCTGTAAGAAGTCATCTACGTTTTCGCGATCCAGGATGGTAAAGGTATCGTCCACTTAGCGTTTCCAGATCCTAGGCTCGTAGGACGATGTAGTTATCGCCTGTTCTTCGAAACTCTCCATGTAGAGGTTAGCAAAAACAGCAGAAAGCGGACTCCCCATGACGGCGCCGTCTTTTTGCTCGTAAATCGATCCGTTCTACTGGAAGTATGCGGATCTTAATACGAAAGTCAAAAGGTCGGCCATCTGTGCAGGCGTAAGCGTGGTGCGGTCTGCAAGATTTGGGTCGTTCTCGAGTTTCTGCAGTGCGGTTTGTACAGCGGCGTCGATAGGAACGTTGGTAAACCGCGATTCTACGTCGAAAGATACCATAATCTCGTTGTCTAAGATCATCTCATTGCTGACAGTGGATACGAAGTGGGCTGAATTGGTCACCGTGTACTCTGACTTTCCTGTTAAAGGAGACAGAATGTTGGCTAAGTTAGCGGATAAATCATATGCAAAGGTGTTTACACACAACACGATCGGTCTTAGCCTAACATCACGAAGAAGATGCGAGATGCACTTAAAAGCCTGAAAGAAGACGAGTCCATCATGGTTCTCCCAGCGGACAAAGGGCGCGCTAGCGTAGTCATGGACACCGATACCTACCGAGCTAAGATGTCTACGCTTATTGAGAAAGGACCGTACCAGCTCCTCAACAAAGATCCGACAGATCGTCTGACCCGCAAGTTGTCTGAAAAGCTGCTTACTCTGAAGCGAAGCGGATATCTACCAGAGGCCGTTTACAACAAGATCAGACCCCGACACAAACAGCCGCCTAGAATCTACGGTTTACCGAAGATCCATAAGGCCGATGTACCGCTAAGACTGATCGTGTCGTGCGTAAACACCTTTGCATATGATTTATCCGCTTACTTAGCCAACATTCCGGTTTCTAATGGTTATCCTTTTTCTTTCTTGCAGAAACGTACCAAGAGCGGAAAACCGAACAACGGTGCCGAACCCGCCAACGAGTTTAAAGCTACTGCGGTTTTACCTTATGTCAAAGGTCTGTCCGAACAGCTTCGCCGTTGCCTACAACAACAAGGCGTACGCGCTGTTTTCAAGTCGGAGACTACGCTAAGATCTCAGCTAGTACGACCAAAAGACGTTGTCGAGCCGGCTAAACAAGATGGCGTAGTTTACAGGATTCACTGTGAATGCGGCAAGGTATACATCGGAGAGACTGGAAGGCCTATGCAAGACAGAATTAAAGAGCACGATCGAGACATTCGACTCGCCGGTACCGAGACCTCCGCCGTTTTAGAGCATGCCCACAACACCGGCCACAAGCCACTCTGGAACGAAGTAAAGTTTATTGATCGTGGCCCTTATTACTACACGCGCAGGGTCAAAGAGGCAATTCACATAAGAATTCACCCTAACAACATCAACAGGGATAGTGGAATAGAAATTCCAGAAGCGTGGATGCCTACGATCAAAAAACATAACAACAGGAGAGCCGTGCGACAGCGGACCGCCGAGGGAGCAAATCCCTGATCAGCAAGGATCGAAATGCACCAATCAGAGTTGTTGAAAAACAACTAATCACAGCAGACCATCATGCTTTATAAGATCACGCATGACCAGTCGACCTTATCGCCTGAAGAAGACTAGCAGTATGCAGTCGAAACGTCGTGATCTACATCACACGTGACTACATCGTGAGAAAAACGAAAAACTTCGCTTTTATTTTTAAAAGAAAGTTATTTCCAAGAAATTCCTGTACCAGATCAATTTTTATGAAATAAGGTCATTTTCTTAATAATTTTTTTTTTTCAACAACATAATAAAAATATACCGGTAACTAGCTGCAAACCGCAGTTTACGCAAAAACATCTGTCTCCACGTCAATTTAACCAAAGTAACCAAACTCTATCTATAAAATAAAACCGCCTAAAAAAGTAAAAAAATTATCAACTGGCTTATTATAATTTCTACCGAATAGCTTATACTAACATATCTTTTCCATCTATTTTCACGTTCAAATAAGTAAAAAATCACCTATAATAAAAATTCTTACTAGATGCCAATTTTGTCTTTTAACAATATTGTCGAAAACCAGACATACGACACAAAACTCCGTCCATTTAATATTCAGTCTTAGCCAGGGTTCAGTTGCTAAAAATATTCACCGTCGCACTTCCACTTGCCACACGTTTTGCCTGTTACGCAGCTTGTTGCCAAATACCGTTACTAGTTCGGATGCAATATCATCCACTAACAGCCCTTATTTTCTACGTTTGATGAGTTTCCCTATTTTGGTAGATATGCATGGGGATTTGCACGACCGGTTAGCGCGAGCTGTGCAATCGAAAGACTCTACCTACCCTTGAACCTTTTCTCCACCTTCATTTCGATATTACTAGACCCAGTTTTTCTGTTGTCTTAGTACCACTGACCTCTGCTTGCTAAGTACTGTCACAGAAGAACACTAGTTATACTCTTTTATTCCGAGTAATTGATTGATAGAAACTCTATTGATCTACTGTGGAGTTTGTCTGATTATTGCTGCACTTAATAATCTAATAATGTTTCTCGAAAATGATTACTGAAAAACCCTTTTCAAGAAATCCAATTTAAATTATATTTTTCAGCAGCTCTCGCACTAAAGACAATTTTTCTTTCTCCATCCTTGTCGTTTTATTTCTTATTTTTAGGATTTGTTTGAAGAAAGTGATTGTATGCGGGAACCCTAAAACTTCAAGAATTTATGTCTTAACTATAGCTGACCTTGCCTTCGTCGAGTCTCTTTTTTGTTACCCTCTTTGGATAGGCACCCTCTGGTATCAGACTTCAGGAGTTTTGTGTTTCATTTCGTGTCACTTTTCACTTCAAGAATACACCAGAGCAGGCCTGACACCAGAGATGTTGTATTGTATTGTTTTGTTTTTCTTCCCACCCAGCCTCCCATCCTGGGTGATTTTGCGTTATGTCATAGGGTTGCAAAGAGGTTTATTGGGCATATAATTGAATGTTGTTTACTTTCGTTTGTATTCTTAATAAACTTCTCTGTGTGCCAAAAAGCGAATTGTTATTTATTTGTATCAGGGGGCGTAATTGGGGAATTCGAAGTAATTTTTATGTCGGTCGATTATTTAGTCGGTTCTGAGTTCCTCTGCATACATGGGTATGAGGAGATCTGAGAATGTAAACTAACTGCCATGTCATCTTTGACAAAATAGTTAAATTTTAACTCTTAAGCTGGATAAGAACTGAAATCAGTTGAAATATGAGCTACAGCCCACGGCATTGTGGGAAATATGAACAAATTCAGGCTACTGTCATTTTGTTATGGGACGAAACTACTCGGCCTACGAAGAGTCTGATTGTTTTGCTGGAACCTCGGACGATATTGCTACTAATCATACAAACCCAAGTTTAGATAGTGAGGAGACAATCTATTTCGGATGAGCTTTCTGTTACAAACGAAAGGTCAAGTAAAACGATCGTGATACACGCATATCGTGACTCACTTAAATCGCGACATGGCGCAATTTAATCTTTGTTTCCGGGTAGCTTTTCTCGCTGTACTTCTTCCACTGACTTCAGGTGAGTACCATATCATTTTAAATCTGTTAGAAAGGTCTATTTTTATGTTAAAATTTACAGGATACTTGATTGGAGATTTCTTTCAGTTATGAGTGCTGTAGCTCAAAGCTTTCTCATACGGTCGCAGGTTAGTTCTCAATGCGGACAGCATTAATATCAGAAAGAAACGAGGGTTCCTCGGGATTTTATGAGGAAAATGTCATTGTGTCAGAATAGTACAGTAGAAAATCTACCTGTTTTTACATCAAGCGCAATTTGGAAGCATGGAGAATCATACGAATGAAATTAAACTTTGAATTGTTCAGCAATCAGAAATACAGACAGTTCTGCAACTATTGAGTTTGAACGAAGAAATCGAGTGGTAAGATCTGCTGCAGTTTCAGGTTAAAGAACTCTTGGAATTTATTCCACCTTTCCTATCTACCTAAAAGCTTCTAATTTTGACCAGTCTGTATATATCTACCTTGTGCTCCCAAAATTGGACCTTTACACTGAAATTCAACTTCTCTTTGCTCCAAGGAAGGGTTAATGACCCAGGTTTCTCAAATTCACTGCAACAATTTCTTTTCCTTTATTTATATTTTGCTTCAATGCCTTTGATGCAGCACAGCAGTTTTTCAAAACTTGAATCTTTCTTCATTTTCTTTAAAAATGGACGCCATCCAAAATGATACCCCATGT